CTTGATATCTGAGATGAAGATGAACAGCTAAGAACCTGTCTACACTTACAGCCACAACACCAAGGAACGAAGCTGCTGAGAACAAGTGAACTGAAATATTCAGCACTTGGTAAGTATTACAGTTAAAATTTTCCAGTTGTAAGCACTTGATCAGAAAAAAAGTGTATAATGGTTGGCTAAACAAACCAACAGCGACATCCGAGCAGGCAAGACTCAGCAGCAGAGTTTTCAAAGTTTTTGCCATAGCCGAAGTTTTGTGGATGGCGTAGATTGTCACAATATTCAACATGATGGAGGTGTGAGTCATAAAATTGTCAAAAATGCAGTTGACGATAAAAGTCGAACGAAGATCTTTAAGTTCAGTGTATACGGGAAAATAATCCAAAGACTCGTTACAAAATAATTCGCTCATGATATCAACTCACTCATAAAAGATGGGACAATCTACTCCAGACAAACAGAAGGTGTTGCAATTCTTTAGCAGGACAGTTTCTCCTTAATTTGGGCAGCAAATCTTGAGCTGATTCCACTTTCTGCCTAAATGTTACCTTTCCTCCCAAAAGTGATAAACTTCAACAAAAGGAATCCTCTTAATTCTCGCAATATGGGATTTTGGGATGTCAGCCAATGACAAAGAAAGAACTTACGTCAGACAAATTAATTCACATATGGAGGCAGTCAAGATGTTCAATTGTATTTTGAAATCGACACTTTTCTCCCGAGGCTTGTTTTTTAAGCATATATCTTGGAGATGTTAATACTCATACTAACACAAAATTAAATGTGTCCTTGAAAGCCTCCCTTGCCCCAGCCCCTAGCTCCGCTGTCCCTGAGGTATGCCGATATCACCATGAACGACACTTGAACGCCGATTGTAAAATTACGCCAGATGGCTGATTTGTTCTCCAAGATATGTTTTGCGGTATTTCCATAAAAGTGCGTCGAATGTGTCTCACCTCTTAACAATAAATGACAATCCGCTATGGAACTCTTTCTAATAACTCAGTTCTCGCTATTTGCGAATAAGTATTTGCAGTAATCGTTGCTGTTCAAAGTAGATGCATACAATTTGGGTTTCTACAGCAGAAAGCCATTAAAAAATAGTTCATCTGTCATATATCCTACCAAAGGAACGGTCAGTATTTATTTTCTGGGGTGGGAGGGAAGGCAAAGGATTCAGTAGGACACATGCTTTTATTCCTATCAAGGATTCCGTCGCTTTCAATTTAAAATCAGAATTAATAAACCAATAACGGTAGTTGCGGACTTAAGCTTCGGAAATGGTTTCTTTTTTTTTTTTTTCATGTAAATTTTGCCTATAACATGCCGACTGTCTCGCTAAAACTTGCTTTGACAACTAAGTGACATGCCAGATACATATAAAACAGAAGGAAATGTTTTGCCATCCATCCTTCTGCCTCAAAAGCAGAATTCTCAAATTACTTTGTGATATATGATTTGAAGAAATTCTCAAGCAAACAGGTAATAAGAATGACAGAGATGATCAATTTGGAGACATGGTATTGACAGTAAGATTCTCAGAACTAAACAACAAATAAATATAAGGTATGATCAGGAGCGGAGGGAATAAACTCCCCGCTCTTTCATTAGAAGTTAAAAGCTTTAATTGATCATAAGATAAAACGAAATAGCGTCACATTGAGAGCGTCTCGTAATGCCCTCAGGAATAAAAACAAGCAGGGGCTAGTATTTATGAGGGAAGAAGAATCCATGTTAATCATTAGCTAATGAGTGGATTCAAAACGAAAATGGATTGATCGATATCCTTGAAAATTAAACAAACTACAAAAAGCATGAGTTTTGCCTTAACACTTTTGAGGGAAAAACTTAGTCGAAGCAGAATGCTGCATATGAAAACGAAAGTAGAGGTGGCTTTAGAGTAATTGATTAGCCTGCAGATGTTTGCAGGTGGTTCTTTATGACACCGGGAGTTTTGAGAACTTAAAATTTAATATGTTTTTCCTTGTTATTTCCTTTGTTTATATGCAAATAACAGATAGGTTTTGGAATCATTATGACAATTCTTTGCAATTTCTAGACAAGTTGATGGGTCAATAAAATGACATGTATTGAAAACATTAGTCTCGAAATAAAAGTGTTCAAAACTTTGTTTATACAGATAATCGACGGCCTAAATTTCGGGCATATCTATGATGATTACGTGGCAATTCGAAAATGCCTTTCAAAATCTCGGAGAATATTTCTAAAGCCTCGATTTCTCCTGGTTTTCAGGGGCAACAGAGCGGGGATCAGTTGTCGCCAAGAGAGTTTCGAGGGGGAGGGGGGGGCTAAAGAAACTTGCCATTAAAAGCTGACAAGGCAACAAGGGTGGAGGGGATAATATGAATGTTACAGTCTTATGGGGGATAATGTTACTTTTATCTTGACACAACCAAAATCCTCTTTAGGAAATAAATAAAACATTACAAAGCCTTTAAGATGACAACAATACATTCTGAACTATAAACAATGTTTGGTTTACTTATCTTAACCGATAATAAGTTATGTAAGTTATGGAACTTTTGGTATCACTGACCTCGCTTTTCCTGAATGGGTTTTTTTTTTAATTGTTGCTTTTAGAAGTAAAAGCGTACAATCTCAGTTCCCGTAGGAGAAAGCCATTAAAAATAGGTCATCTGTCATTTATCCTGTTTGGTTTACTTATCTTAACCGATAATAAGTTATGTAAGTTATGGAACTTTTGGTATCACTGACCTCGCTTTTCCTGAATGGGTTTTTGCAGTAATTGTTGCTTTTAGAAGTAAATGCGTACAATCTCAGTTCCCGTAGGAGAAAGCCATTAAAAAAAGGTCATCTGTCATTTATCCTCCTAAGAGACTGGTCACTATTTATCTCCTGTGGGGGGAGGGGGGGCCGTTAGAGCAACTTGGTCGACTCATGAGAATGTTTACACAGCCCCCGATAAACTGAAGGTTCTCTAAGATTCCTATGACTCCTCCCTCCCTAGTCGACAGTTAATTGGCAGTCAATTATCTATAGTCCCCTCTCAACACTTTATTGACGACAGCTAAACCCCCCTCTGTTTTTCCTTAACCTTTTAACTCCCAAGATCTGATTGTTAATTCTCCCCTCTACCTGCTACACACTTCCTTGTAGGTAAGTTACAAGAATTTGATGTTAGATCAAGGTAACAACTTCTACTTGATAAGTCTAAGTATTCTCATGACCTATTCGCTGGATAATGTATGGATATTTTAGAGAGAAATTAGTTTTAAATCATTCCTGGGAGTTAAAAGGCTAAAGCCAGGAGAAATCGACCCTGTAACAAATAATCTCCGAGATTTTTCCGAGACATCTTCAAATCATTACATAATCATCATGGATAAGCCCGAAATTTGAGCGGTCGATTATCTGTCAAAAAAAATATTTTAAGAACTTGTAATACGAGACTAATTTTTGGACTACATTTTACACAACTGACCCATTAACTTGTTTGGAAATTGGAAAGAATTGTTAAATTAATTCAAAAACCTATCTGTTATTGCGTCTAAGCGAAAGGGGATTAGCAGGAAAAACATGTTTGATTTTAAGCTCATAAAATTCCCGGTCAGCTTGTATTATGTAAAATCACCTGAAAACATTTGCGGGCCAATTAATAATTTTACAACCACCTCTGTTTTCGTTTTCATATGCAGCATTCTGCTTTAACTAAGTTTTTACTTCAAAAAGTGTAACCAAAGGCAAACGAAATGCTTTTGATCTTTGTTTAGTTTTGAAGCATATCGCTCAATCCACTTTCGTTTTTAATCCACTCAATAGACAATGATAAACAATAATTTCTCTTTCCTTCTTAAATACGTGCTCCTGGTTTCTTCCCTTCCTGAGGGAAAAACGCGACGCTCCAAATGCGACGCTTTACCATTTCATTAAAATTTAAACTTCTCACGAAAAAGCTGGAAGTTTATTTACTTCACTCATGATCATACCTTACATTTATTTGCTGTTTATTCCTGAGCTTCTTACTATCAATACCGTGTCCCTAAATTGATCCTCTTTGTCATTCTCATTATCTGCTTGCTTTAAACTTTCTTTAATTACACTTTAATAAGGGAGTTAAGGAGTTGACTGTTTATTAATATAAGCACCGTATACTACTCCAACACGCTATTTTTAGCCACTTGAATTATGTCTTAAATCTGCCGGCAAATTATCATAAACCAAGAAAGAACTATATTTTGATCAGCATGGTCACGCGAGAAGTTAGCTGTCGACACAAAATTGACTCATTTAAGATAGAAGTTATATGCCATATCATGGGAAATAGTAAGTTAGGTAAAACGCTGCAATTGGTCACAATAAGTTATTCAAAAGCTATTGTTTTGGTTTGTGTTTTACTATTTTCCAAACAAGCCTAGTTAATCGCCAGACTTGTGCAAACGAAAGCGACAACGGTAAATTTTTTTTTGATTGTAAATAGTTCACTCTGACACAATGAATAAATGTCACCCCTCGAAGTAAAAAGAGGTAAATTGCAGGATGTATGCTTGCAACGTGATCCATTCATTAAAATTAGCACAAAGAGATGCTACTAACTCTATGCCCATAAAAGTTTTTTCTCATTTAGGTACGAGCAATTGTTTTCGCGGACTTTACCTTACTCCTTCTTAGGGTAATCCTTCTATGGAAAAAAAATGATTACATTGACAATAAAAACTCGCTTTTTCACGAGTTAAAGCAGCGTTTTTGAAGATACTTCAAGGGAATTCCCCTCTGATCAATATATGGCTAAATAAAACATGACTTATCGAAATTTTGAGCCATATACTTCCTGTTTAATTGGCCTCTTTCGTTCCAGTTGTGAGAATTTGACGTATTGTGTATTTAAACTCGACAGGATACTCAATGATTCTGTTGCTGAGTCATACCATTAAGTTTATTTACAATGTTCTTTCTCCCTGTTTCCTTTGTGGTGAACAAACCGTACATGTGCACAGTCCATGTTAGACGCACAGAGTGGATCAGTTATCAACATGGACGACACTCGATGATCGATTGTAGTTTATCCGTAATGGCCGATTGCTCTTCCTAGACATCTTTCGAAGTATGTTCATGATAGCGTGTCGAACGTGTCTCACCTTGCAGCAGTAAATGACAGGATTCAAAGACGAATTAATAAATACGAGAGTCATTGAGTAAAGAAAAAATTGTTTTAAAGCGATACTCGAGCCATACATTCGCATAACATCCGAGCAAATGAAAAAAGGCAAATAACAAATTAACAACAGGAGATATACGTAGAATATGCTAACTGTGGATTTAATGAGAGCAATAAAGTTCTTTATTTCATCAGAATGGGTTACTTCTTGTATTTGCATACATTGAATCTGATTTTTGTGCCGTCGGACAGTAAAATATAACCTGATGTACACCACGAGTGCGATAATGAAACCCAAAGCTGCGCCAACTAAATTAATAAGTTGCTGAGTACTAAGTAAGCCCCAAAATATCATCAAAGAGACAAATGCACTGCACACCCATTTGTCGATCACCACAACAACAACACGCCTGTGAGTCACAAGCTCTTGATATCTGAGATGAAGATGAACAGCTAAGAACCTGTCTACACCTACAGCCACAACACCAAGGAACGAAGCAATTGAGAATAAATGAGCTGAAATATTTAGCACTTGGTAAATATCACAGTTAATATTCTCCAGTTGAAACCACTTGACCAGAAAAAAAGTGTATATTGGTTGGCTAAACAAACCAACAGCAACATCCGAGCAGGCAAGACTCAGCAGTATAGTTTTCAAAGTTTTTGCGATTGCCGAAGTTTTGTGGATAGCGTAGATTGTCACAATATTCAACATGACGGAGGTGTGAGTTATGAAATTGTTAAACATGCAGTTGGTGATAAAAGTCGAACGAAGATCTTTAAGTTCCGTGTATGTGGGAAAATAATCCAAAAACTCGTTACAAAATAATTCGCTCATGATATCAACTCACTCATAAAAGATAGCACCCTCTACTCCAGACAAATTGAAACGTGTTGCGATTCTTTAGCAGGACAGTTTCTTCTTATTTCGGGCGGCAATTTTTTAGCTGGTTCCACTTTCTACCTGAAATGTTGCCTTTCCTCCCAAAAGTGATGAATTTCAACAAATGTAAGTCAATGATAAAGAAAGAACTTACGTCAGACAAATTAACAGATGGAGGTAGTCAAGATGTTCATTTGTATTGTAAAATCGACAATTTTCTCCCTAAGCTTTTTTTTTTAAGTGTATGTTAAACAATGTTAACTCTTTTTCCTTAATTCCATGAAATTGAAAGGAACTGTTTAAGACAAAAACCTGAAAGTTTCTCTTGTCTAAGTGAAAGGAGACAATTAAGAAAAAACTAGTCATTTAGATCGATCAGAGTTCTGAAATTTTTCTGGCGTTTTGGCGCCGGCCTGAACCATCTTCAGAGATATCGATCTTGCCTAATTACTAAAACGTCGAACTAAAGCCGCCCGTGTTGTCGCTTTCATAAAGTATTTTGTTCAAGTCAACAGAAAATTATTTCAAAAAAGTTCACAAATAATAGATTTCTTCAATTTCCGGGTTTTCATGAAAAATTCAAGCTTTAATAACTTATATAATTCCGCACCTCGGGTGGCGACGGACAGGAAAAGACAACCGACGAGGAAATTATGTCCCAATAATTTCTCCTGTTTGGGTGAAGAACAATTCTCCTTAGTTCTGGCTAGCTTTACGTTTGAAGAAATTTGAAATCTAAGGGAATAGTCATTATATATGTTTATCGACTGAGGGATGGTGTCGTAGGGCTTTTTTCTTTTTTTTCTTTTTTTTGAGGGGGAAGGGAATTACACGTTTTCCTTAGGGGACAGATGAGGGATCAATTGTTGCTTACAGAGTCTGAAGGGAGAACTATGGAAATTATTCAGTTCACCCCCTCTCTGCCCTCTCCCCTCCCCTCCTCCCTCCGTGCGGTTTTTTTCAACAGGTTAGTTGTTTATATTACATCGGTAGAATATCGAAAACATGTATTCAAAGCTAAAATTTCACTTGAAAAGGCCAGTGGTCGCTCAGTAATAAAATAAACTTGCAGTTCTGCTTCTTTCAAATTTCGCTGTTGTGTGTATTGAGCGAATTACTTGCACATATTTTCAATAGTGGTAATTGCATATAACTACTTAAGACGGGAGATCATAAAAAGTCAATGAAGGTGGAGGGGAGGGATCATCAGAATACTGCAGTGCCTAGTCTCGTACCCAGACCTTTCACGGGCAAGATCACATTTCAGTCAGTAACACGGTAGGATCTGGGCACCAGATTATGCAGAGCCTTATAGGGGGTTCAGGTAAACTTTATTGTGACATTAACAAAATCCTCCGACCCCTCCCCACCCCTCTCGACCGGGCTTTTTGAGTTATTTACATGCACTCTCGCTTCCCAATACAGGAAAAATATTTTGCGTTGGATCTTTCGTAACTCCCTTAATTATTCCTTTTTCCTCTAACTTTGTTTATTTGTTTTTTTTTTTTTCATCGGAAATACATGCTACACTGTTGATGCAATTTTCTTTGGTTAGATTTAGAAGGAAACCTCTGATTTGGCTAATGTTACCTAATTCCGCTTTTTGACCGAAATAACACCAGTAACGTCACAAATGAAACCACAGAAATGCTTTCGACAGTTCAGGAACTGGGCTTATTACACGTAAATACTTTTACATTCTTTTACTTTGCCTAAATGATTAAATGTACCGGTGCAAAGCAGTTAGATTTGACGGTCTATCATGTTCGATTATTTTAAAATAGAAATTTGCCAAATTGTTATATAGCTCTATCGAGAAAGCTAATTTTCTTGTGATAAATCGACTTGCTAAAATATCACAACCCATAAACTATTTATCTGAAATAGCGGCCCCTATAATTTATAAGTGAGTGAAAATCATGAGCAAATTGCACTGTAACCAGTCGCAATTTTTGCCCATATTCACTGAACTTGAAGATCTTCGTTCGACTTGTATCGCCAACTGTGTCTTTAACATTTTTCTCAGTTACACCGCCTTCATGTTGAATATTGTGACAATCTACGCTATCCACAAAACTTCAACAATGCCAAAAACTTTGAAAACTCTGCTGCTAAGTCTTGCCTGCTCGGATGTTGCCGTTGGTTTATTTAGTCAACCATTATACACCTTTTTCCTTATCAACTGGCTTCGACTAAACAATCCTGGCTGTATCCCTAAACAAGTGGAGACGACTTTAGGTGGTTTATTTTCAGCTGCCTCGTTCCTCGGTGTTGTGGCTGTAAGTGTAGACAGGTACTTAACTGTTCATCCTCATCTCAGATACCAGGGGTTCGTGTCTCACAGGCGTGTTGTTGTGGTGGTGGTCAGCATATGGGTGTATAGTGCATTTGTTTCTTTGGTTACATTGTGGGGGCTTCTTAGTGCTTGGAATCGTATAAATATAATTACTGTTGCTTTCGGTTTTATCATCACACTCGTGGTGTACATCAGGATATATCAAACTGTACGATGGCACAAGAATCACATTCAGTCCATACAAATACAAGACGAAGCTCAGTCTGAGGCTGTTCTCATTAAATCCACAATTGGAATATTTTACGTATATCTCGTGTTTTTAGTTTGTTATTTGCCCATTTTCATTTGCATGGCTGTCATTCAATTTTATGGCTCGAGTATCGTTTTAAAGAAACTTTTTCTTTTCTTATTGACTCTCGTGTTCCTGAATTCATCTTAGAACCCTGTCATTTACTGCTGAAAGATTAAACACATTCGACACGCTATCATAGACATATTACGAAAGATGTCTTGGATCAGCAATCGGCCACTACGGATCCATTACAATCGGTCATCGAGTGTCGTCCATATTGATAACTGATCCCCTCTGTGTGGCTTACAAAGACTATGGGTGGTAATTGTTTATGACAAAGTGAAATAGGAACAAACAAGATTGTACATAAACTTATTAATATGACCCGGCAGCCAAATAATCGCGTAGTTTCAATTTTAAGTACACAATAAATCGAATAATCTGTAGTGTGACAGGGAAAGGCTAATTTGAGCAAGAAAGCTGGTTTTGTAATCGATGGATAGAGAAATTGTAATTATGGATGTAAAAAAATAGTAGGATACGACACATAATTTTATTCACATCAAGGTTTCCGTTGCTTTTAGTTTCAAATCAGAATTTAAAACCAATAACGGTGGTTGCGGACTTAAGCTTCGGAAAAGGTTTCATTTTTCCCTTGTAAATTTTGCCCATAACTGCCAACTGTTTGGGGACATAGTATTGACAGCAAGATTCTCAGAACTAAACAACAAATAAATATAAGGTAAGATCAGGAGCGAAGGGAATAAACTTCCAGTTCTTTCATTAGAAGTTAAAAACTTTAATTGATCCTGATGATGATAAAAAGATATAGCGTCACATTGAGAGCGTCTCGTGATGCCCTCAGGAAGAAAAACAAACAGGAGCTAGTATTTACGAGGGAAGAAGAATCCATGTTAATCATTCGCTAGTGAGTGGATTCAAAACGAAAATGTATGATCAATATCCTTGAAAATTAACAAACAAAAAAGAGCATCGAGTTTGTCGTAACACTTTTGAGGTAAAAACGTAGTCGAAGTAGAATGCTGCATATGAAAAGGGAAACAGAGGTGGCTTTAGAGTTATTGATTATCCTGGAGATGTTTGCAGGTGGTTCTTGATAACAACGGGAGTTTTGAGAACTTAAAATGAAGTTTGTTATTTCTTTTGTTTATATGCAAATAACAGATAGGTTTTGAAATCATTATGACAATTCTTTGCAATTTCTAGACAAGTTGATGGGTCAATAAAATGAAATGTATTGAAAACATTAGTCTCGAAATAAAAGTGTTCAAAAGTTTGTTTATACAGATAATCGACGGCTTAAATTTTGGGCACATCTATGATGATTATGTGGCAATTTGAAAATGCCTTTCAAAATCTCGGAGAATATTTCGAAAACCCTCGATTTTTCCTTGTTTTCAGGGGCAACAGAGTGGGATCAGTCATCAGTCATCGCTAAGAGAGTTTGTGTGTGTGTGTGTGTGTGTGTGTGTGTGTGTGTGTGTGTGTGTGTGTGTGTGTGTGTGTGGGGGGGGGGGGGCTAAAAAAACCTGCCTTGGAGGATATTTGAAACAGCGTCGTTTTTTAGCTTTCTTACTAGCTGACAAGGCAACAAGGCAGGTGGGGGTAATAAGAAATATTACAGTCTTATGGGGGATAATGTTACTTTTATCTCGACATAACCAAAATCCTCCTTAGGAAATAAATAAAACATCAAAAAGCCTTCAAGATGATAACAATACATTCTGAACAATAAGCAATATTTGGTTTAATTATCCTAACCCATAATAAGTTATGTAACTTATGGAACTTTTGGTATCACTGATCTCGCTTTTCCTGAATGAGTTTTTGCAGTAATCGTTGCTTTTAGAAGTAAATGCGTATAATCTGAGTTCACAGCAGAAAGCCATTAAAAATAGTTCATCTGTCATTTATCCTCCTAAGAGACTAGTCATTATTTATCACCTGTGGGGAGAGGGGGGGTGTGAGAGGATCTTGGTCGAGTCACAACAATCTTTACACAGCCCCCCATAAGATTCTATGAGATTCCAATCACCCCTCCCTCCTAGCTGACAGTTAATAGGTCAGTCAGTCTCCTCTTAATACTCTGTTAGCGACAACTGAAACCCCTTCCATCTTTCCTTGGAGCCAGGAAAAATCGACGCTGTTACAAATAATCTCCCAGATTTTGAAAGACATCTTTAAATCATCACGTAATCGTAATGGATAATCCTGAAATTTAAGCCGTCGATTATTTGTCAAATAAAACAAACTTTTATAACGAGAATAACTTTTTGACTATATTTTACTTCAAAAACTCATTAATAATTCATAAGCCCATTAACCTATCAAATGGTAGATAATACA